CCCAATTTCTTCATTCCGGTCGTTAAGTCCTCTGGTTTCGTTCCATCGAACTTGGGGAGTCCTCTGATGACGTTGGCCAGGTTTGTGGATCNAGGGGATCAGGCCTGCGCATTCCCTTGAGAAGTGGCATGATGTCCCTCCGAGTAACGCCGACGACTACACCCAATTTCTTCATCCAGTCGTTGAAGTCCTCTGGTTTCGTTCCATCGAACTTGGGGAGTCCTCTGATGACGTTGGCCAGGTTTGTGGATCCATCACTCCAGATGCTGCCTCCGCCTCCAGCTCCCGATGTTGCTTCCATTTCTGTTTTATCCTGATGATCTCGTCTTAAATATTTCTGTTGGTGTATTACTCAGTTATCTGTCTGAGATTTTTCCAGCCCCGCTCCTTCTATTGACATAGAGGACTCCGGTTGCCGATTCGCGACCCCGCTTCTGAAACCCTTTTCTCACATAGATAGGGAATTGGTGAATAGAACTCCGGTTGTAGGCCAATTTGCGACCCCGCTCCTGATACCCTTTCCTCACTTAGGGAATCGGTGAATAGGACTACGGGCCCCGGTCGACTTTCGCTGTCGATACAGTAGTCTTCCCTCCTGTCTCCGCCGCAGACGTATTTGCTCGATGTCTAAATCGAGGCTTCCCGCGCAACACTTTGCTGTTTGTTCACCACCCACTACTGCTGTTGCAGCAGTGGTAACGAGTGTGTATAATGAACTCTCAGCCCCTTGGTGTAGATGACCAAGTAGTTTGCTCACTTTCGTTTCCGCTGACCGTTGATGATCTCCCAAACCTCCGAATCNGCCCCGGTCGACTTTCGCTGTCGATACAGTAGTCTTCCCTCCTGTCTCCGCCGCAGACGTATTTGCTCGATGTCTAAATCGAGGCTTCCCGCGCAACACTTTGCTGTTTGTTCACCACCCACTACTGCTGTTGCAGCAGTGGTAACGAGTGTGTATAATGAACTCTCAGCCCCTTGGTGTAGATGACCAAGTAGTTTGCTCACTTTCGTTTCCGCTGACCGTTGATGATCTCCCAAACCTCCGAATCCAGATTTCCGCTCGAGGTCTACAGACGGATGTTGTAGTATACAGTAGGATGTCTTGACCTCCGTCGTGACGTCAGAAGCTCCTACTGTTCGCGTAAAGCGAGGCTCATAACCTCACACTATGTGGCGTTCTGCAGCAGCGGAGGTGGCGGTCCTGCTGTGGCTCGTAGACTTTGTAGTGTGCCACAGAGGTTACACTGCTGTCACCGCGGTGCTGCTGTAGCTCGTAGACTTTGTAGTCTATCACAGAGGTTACACTGCTGTGAGATCGGTAGGTCCGAGCTTGCAAGCTTCGGAACGAGAAACGAAGATAGATGTTCTTATCAACTGACTCCCTGGTCAGGCTTTGAAGGGTGCTAGATGAGAGTGAGCACAACGGGCAAAGGCGCGCTTGTGTCTCAGCTCAACAACAAAACAAAAAACAAGCAGCAAACACGGCAGGTTCCGAGGGTCTCCGGGGTAATGGCCCGTGTTAGATATACTCGCAACAAAATCTGGTCGTGAGGATCCCAGGGGGACACGTGTTGGGAATTTCGTGTGTGGAAGGGTACCACCGGCGCAGTCACGGAGACCCTTTGGGCGTGGTCGGTGCGATGATGAGGAAGGCTTGCGTGCGTGCTGCGCACTTCCCCTTCTACTTCTTCCCTCGCTCTCCACCACCACCACCACCGTCTCTCTCCAATCAAGTTTCCTTCTCCCACTCTCTCTCCAACTCTCTCTTAACCTCTCTCTCTCGGCCTAACACGGCCGACTACCCAGTGCCCCAAAGCAACGTCCAGAACGTGCTTGCTGCACCCCGCGTAGTTTACCTTCCACACTAGTGCAATGATATCACGGTATCTGCGCGCGGGCGTAGCCTTCCGGGGGTTGTGCAGTCACGCGCAATAGGTAGACTCGCATAACAACATAAATCATGGAGGGCATCGACCTCTCCACCCTTAGCGAGCAAGAACTACAGCAATAAGTGGACGAGATCGTCCAGCAACGAGTACAAGCCGAACTTGAAGCTAACAGGATCAACGAGGGTGAAGTCACCTACGCCCAACCACCATCAGCCGGCAACCCAGTCCCACCTACCGGCAGCCAGCCATTACCCTCCAGCCAGGGTAAACAGCTACCTTCAACGACCCCAGCAGCGTCGCACACATCGTGGCGCAAGCGGCCAAGGCGACAGCTGAGGCCATCGCTGAACAACAGGGCTTCGTCCGCTCAAGCACGTTACGTGTCAATCCTGGCTCAGAAATAGAACCTTGGCTTGGTAGCGTGAAGAATGAGCAGGATTTGTATATTATGTTTGATATTTTTCGTAGTAAGATGATTTCATATTTTCAGGAGGAGGGTGTGCATGATGCGTTGGAACTGGAGGTCGAGGTCAAGGTCGGAAAAAGGGGTGTGAATATAGGAGACCTTCGGAGACTTTTTGGGAATGAAGTGGTAGACAAGTCATTCAAACTGTGGAATATCCTGATTAGCAAGGTTTTGTATCCCCCGATTCAGAGCTTGATTCTGGCGTGTGAGAGTACCCAAAAGGGCTGGAAAATCGTGATACACTTCTATCAGGAGAAAAAGCGGTCAGGAAAGTCGAGGTTGGAGCAGGACTGGAAGGAGTTGGAGATGAGAGAGTCCGAGAGTCCATAGGATTACATTGCCCGCTCAGAGGCCCTTCTCCTGCGTCTCGCATCTGTAGGCACAATTAAGGATGAAACAGATGCCAACAAAGACATTGCTCGTGGCCTTCCCTCTTCGTTGTATGCCGTGCAAAAAGGAATACTGCTTGCCCATGATGTCCTGACGTTGCGTATCCTTGAGACTGTGGTGAGGGACGCCCACATGGAGATGGAGCTCGAGAGGAGCAAGGGGGAAAGGCGCGAGGTGGAGCTCGCTCTCGCCGCGTCCGGCATGGG